CTCATCATATGTAACTCGCCACTCCTCTTATCCTCTTTTTCAGCCTTAATCTCCATCTCCTTATTTTTAAGTGAGTCTATGACAATCTCAGGTGTTAAGGTGTCCCTACTGTACTTAATTGCATTCTTAACTTCCCTATATGAATCAGGTATGGAATTAAGTAGGATAATAGCCTTATACGTTTCAGATACCTCTTCATCATAATTAACGATGTCTTGAACTAATTTGTTAAAGATATCTAGATTATCATCAAGATCCTTTGAATGATCCATTTTAAAGCTGAAAAATCGTTCAAACAAGTACAATTTATTAGGAGTTGACTTGAGCAAATATAAGTCCTCCAACTTTTCCCAAAGTTGTTTTGTAGAATCCAGTTTTCCTACTTTTCTCAAAACAGTATCAGACAGGTGTAAAATAATTGAAGTATATGCAAGTTCATCATACTCTTCTTTTTGTACTTCTGTTAAATTTGCAAGAAATTTACCATTTATGTCCTTTGAAACTTTTTGTTGGACCAAAATACCCTTCATCTTTTGTTGCCAAATTGAAAAATCCTCTTTCCCATTAAAAATTCCAACTTCAAAGCATGAAGACATTTTTAAAAAACTAGAACAACCAAAAGTACAGATAGGTCACACAAAGTTATCATACGGTCGCAATATACACCGTTCTAAATTCCCAGGGTTTCGTAAGATTCACGATTTTAGATCAAGGGAATGTTCGAACGGGTCAAGTCCAGGTGTTCTAATAGGAAAATCAATGCAACACGAAGGTATCTAAACAAAAGTTTGAATTTTCGCGCAACAAGTCTCACACAATGACTATATGACGGGTAAAGCACAAAATCAACTACCAACTTGCAATCAAAACTCAACACTTCAAATACAGAGCAAACAATTCCTAAATTTTCTAGCACAAGCAATGGTTTCCAAGCAATGACAACCCCCAATCCTAACGATCACCCCACACAATGATCTGCTAATGCTGAAATTTGAACTAAGTTAAGCCAATATACCAGAGCGGCTCTATCTGAGTTCGTAAATTACGAGAGTTGTGAATTTATCACTTTAGGACCACCACTATTCGTCCTAAAGTCTCTGGAAACTGCAGCAACCAAAAAATCACGATCAAGTCCCAAACGCCCAAAGAACAACGCTATCTAGATTCTACTGCGTACCCTGAAACAGAAAACTTTCAACACGAAAAATGTTAGAAATAATATGAGGAACAAACTTCCTGAAGAGACCGTCACCAAACAACGCTCCACACGCCCTCACGCGTGACTCCTTCCCTATGAGCGTGGGCCTCACGCGCCACCACACGCGCCTCCGTCGACTAACATGCGCTGACCTGTAGGGTTCGCCTCCTCCTGCACGTCACACCAGTGGTCTCCGTTTCCCCAAACCCCTTCTGGATTGATCAGAAAACGTGAAAAACGGAGACTGATTTTAACAATTTTTTGGACAGCTTCTTCGATTTGATTTCTGCTGTGTTTCTGTCAATTTTTTGGACGATTCCTGGTAGATTTCACAAGCCAAAACCTTTACCTTGAAACTCTGATACCAATTGTTGCAGAAACTCTCTCAAAAGAATCTTCAAACGGTGGTTTCCAGGCTCAATCCAACGCACCTTTCTCAACCAACAGCCAGTCCAAATGGCTCCAAACCACAACCAATTGATTCACCTTGGTTGCTATGCAATCTTACCCACGTAGGACAAGAAATAATGATGATTTATGGCAACAAAGGTTAGGAGAGGACACCACAAAGGTATACTATTAAAGAACCACCAATTGCACACGTTATATAAGCGTTCTAAACACTTCTAGACACCTTTTTCTCACACAAAAAGGGGACAACCGGGATTCAATATTTCTTCTCTCAAAATCATACAAAATACCATATAAAAGTGGCTAGGGTTATAGCCAAATATATACTCTAGGGTTAGGCTTTAAGTTGGGCCATTAAAGGGGTAAACGAGCTAAGATTCAAGCCATCCATAAGGAATACAATTGGGCCGGGTATAGCTCATGGACTTGGTTGTTGGACTTATTTCATTCATCGGCCTATACTTATGAAATAATATTAACTCATGTTAACATCATAGCCTGGGATTTATTGGGTATCAAAAACCCAACAGTTACTCAACATAAATCTCAAGGGCTGTCTCTAACATTTTAAACAAGAGGGGTGTATTTGTATTTGTCGTATACCTCAAGGGAGGTTACTGAAATTTGCCCTAAAATAGAAGAAATAACAAGTTGAAAACAATATCTAGAGTGTGACACATTCTTCCAGCCAAGAACATACATGGTGGTGGATCCAAAATGGCTTCACGCTCGGGAGTAATTTCTTTTCCAGAGTGATGAATATTAAAGATACTTGGAATGTATTGCAAAAGTCCTATTCTTTACATTTCTTTTTATCTGAAATTGAGTCAAAAGATGAAGGGAGGTCCTTAAAGTCCTTAGATGTAGAAGCCCAAGAAAAAATCAAAAAACTCTGCTCTCTCATATATCTCCAAGCAGCTGTTTGTTTTTTTTTCCTCGAAAATTTTGGAGTTCATTGATGTCCAAACCATCAAAATATAGCCAATACCTGATGTTTCTACATATCAGCCGTGATCCCACTTTTGTAAGCCAGAACCAATATATTTTCGGAAGACGTAAAGTTTGAGAGAAATTAAATATGGAGGAGATCTCTATGTAATCTTGTATGCAAAATCAATATGCCAGTTTAAATGATTTCTCTGCCTCTTAATTAGATATTTTCCTTAATTTAACTAAATTCCTTTTAGAAGCTAGTATGCATGTGGAGTATACGCAAGTATGTATGATGTGTTCTGGTTTGGATTGACCCGATTGATTAATCACAATCCCAGTTGCTCTTTCAAAATTCAGTTGGACTATGGCTGCACACCTGAGGAGGTGCAACAGCATTTTCAGTCAACTGGTACGGTAAATAGGGTGACTATTTTGACTGATAAGTTCGGCCAGCCGAAAGGTTTTGCTTACCTGGAGTTTGTTGAAACTGAGGCGGTGCAGAATGCTTTACTTCTGAATGAATCTGAATTGCGTGGCCGTCAGCTGAAGGTTTGTGAACTTATATTGATCATAAACTTAAAACGTGATAGTCGTATGTACCTGCAACAACAATGTTGATGGATTTTGGAATTTGGACAGGTATCTGCTAAGAGGAATAATGTTCCTGGGATGAAACAATATCGAGGAAGACGTCCCAACCCTTATTATGGATCAAGAAGGTCGTTCATGCCTGGTCCACCTATGTACCCTCCCTATGGTTATGGGCAAGTACTAGGGTTTAGTTTTTTTGGCTTTCACCCATAACAATGAAATGATGAGAAAATGGATTCTTTTACACGTTGAGGCTTGGGCTTGAAGCTTTTGATACTTAATAATCATGGTATTTTGCATATATAAATAAGAATCTTTCTGGTACTTGGATTAGCGAAGATATCTGTTTACTCTTAATTTTTTCTGGGGCAAAAATAACTTAGTTCTTTACTTGGAATAAAATTGTACCATTGGATTAACATTTCTTAATTTGTGGTTTAATTAGAGATTCTGATTTCTTCTCATATGTAGGAGGGTTCCAAGGTTTAGACGTCCTATGCTCTACAGGCCATATTAACGAATCTTGATCGTCGTCTATTGTTGTTCTATAGATACTGGATGGTCGATTAAGAAACCCTCGTTCCTCCATATTGTTATTTTAGGGATTTTTTGGTGATAAGTACCATTACATGCATTCCAAAAGGACATAAATTAGATTCTTAAATTTTGTAACTTTATTTAGGCATGTTATTGTGCTATTTAACTACAGCAGTTTACAACTTAAATTTGGACATACTGTTTTTTGTTATCATTTCTTGAAGCATGGTTGTCACAAGTTGATAGAATCCCCTTTTTACGTTCCCGTGTCTCCTCGTGTGGTGACATGGGAAGGATGGGAGATAACAAGGAGAGGTCTCCAAGTTTTGTTGTGTTTAAATTATTTTTATCTATTTTGAAATCCTTCCCTAGAAATAATGCCTGACCTACACCTTTATCGTCTTAGTGATGGGCCAGGCTTAATGCCCAGATTTGCTTGGGCATTTTTAACTGTCCTAAAAGGGAAACGGATGGAATTGGCACTAATGTGGGGAAACAAGAGATTTATGTGATGGCTTTTCAGTTTCTTCACTCCCCCAGGAGTCAATATGGGGCAGAGCTGGTGGTCCTTTAGAAGACTGACAAGAATTCTCTACTGTTTTACTTAGAATGTACATAAGTTACTTGTATGGACCAAAATAGAAGCTTTAGTAAAGATAGGGATTAATATAAGAAAAAAATGTTTTTTTCTAATCTCTTTGTGTGTGTGTGTGTGTGTGTCAATGTGTATAAATGAGAAGGAAAATACCATTTTTACAGAAAAATGGTTTACTACCTTCTTGACAGAATCTCACATTCGTGTGGGACCCGAGCGAAAAAAAAATGATAAAAAATTGCTCCCCCATGAGTCTGTTCTGTCAGGGAGTGTGTCAAACCCTCCCTGTACAAACAGCAAGGTCCAAATGAGAATACAAGTTTCAAAGCCAATTGCTAATTTGGTGTCAGAGCTCTAGGTCTTGGAAATTAGGATAAAATTGAAAAATCCCTACAATTAATTTCACTAAGAATCTTAACCCCAGACTCAAAAGCTGCCTGTAACAGGCCGTCCGTTTGGCCCTTGACACCGTGACTTGAACCAGAAAATCATTGAAGCTTACCCATACTCGGGCAACCTCATGTTTGCCTAGTGTGCTTGTGTGACAACCATGGAGTTAAGAATATTGAGGCTCGGCTCGGCCCATTCTTACTTCAAAAATGAGTTGAGTGCAAGCTAGCTCACGTGAAGGAAATGTGGCTATGATGTTCTCTCTCTCTTTTAATTAAAAATACAATTTTTTTTCTCGATTCTGGACAAATCGAGGGGTCAGCTAGTGGCTCACACGAAAAATCATAACGCTTGTGTCTGGGGTACTTAAGCCTACGAGTGGGGACAGGGATGGCACCAAATTTCCATTTAACCACCAATTTCTTTTATTTTTTTATTTTTTTTATTTATGAGTATGATGCATTGTTTGAATTTTTTTTGTAGATTATGATTTTTTTTTTTTTAAAGAACTTAATCGGGTGGGGATCATGTCCTCATCTCTGATTCAAGGCTAATTTCTTAGGCTCATCCCGGCCTCATTCTCAATTAAATCGAGAATTCTTCGCCCGTTGCCATCTCTGTTGTTCAAGGAGTTTCTGTCCAATTTAATTGCTAATGTTAAATGGTTCCATAAATAGTATTGGTTAAGCACACACTAAACATGTTGCTTATTACTGCCCCTCTTAGAGTTATGTAGGCCTAAGCTCCAATGATTTCAATAGTAGTTGAATAATGCAATAATGGATTGGTTCTTGATTGTACGTAAAGATAGTCATCAATGAAAACTCGTCTACAAAAATTATTTTACAGCCTTGCCTCAGCTCATCGGCTTGACTTCTTTCTTTTAAGCTCTAGTTGAGAAATATATGGATCCCTTCAAATCTCAATTCACTTTCTGAATCTTTAGCAGTGCTGTTTTTTTCTCTCTCAGATCAAGGTTCGTTTTATCTCTCTCTAAAAAAATAAAAAATAAAAATTAAGCCTTTTACTTCTTCACTTCCATTACTGTCGGAACTATTCATATAATGAGAAAAAATAAATAAAAAATCCAATTATTGGGATGCGACTTGGTACCAAACATGGTATTAGTGTCTTACAGTGGAGTACCCCAGTTCTAAACCAAATTTTAACATCATATCACTTCTCGAAATGATTGCCGGCAAAATGTTTTTCAACATCCCAATTACTGAGCTTGAGAGCTGCATTTCGACACCGCTTCTTCGGCGGTAAAAGATGGTAGAATTTGGCACTTAGCTCTCGTTTGACATGATTTTTGTTTCTATTTATGTTTCTTGTAAAAGAATTTAATGAAGAAGTTGACTTAGGCAAGCTTCCTCTAGCCAGTCAAAACATTTTCAAAAATTATCCAAACTTGTTCAACGGTAACTACTTAATCTCAGAATCAGCTTTTAACTTTTTAAAAGCATTGCTAAACGTGCCCTTAAAAAGGGAGAGAGAAACTCTTCTCAAGTTGAAAGATGAGCTGGTTGATGAATTTGGTCGACTTTCTTAGGTATTATAGATTTTGATTCTTATAATTGAAGGGGAAACTAGGTACTGAAACTACTGCAAAAACATGCTCCAACAAATCGATGCTAGTATCTACATGCGAAAAAAAGATGTAATTTTTTTATGAAGTGATTCTAAATGAACATCCTTATTTTCATTATGCCATTGATATATTAATAACAATTATTTCCATCCAGGGTACAGATTCAATCGATATGATTGAAAAGTGGATAAATCAATATAAAGCTAACCGTAGTCTTTCTAGACGAGGATTGCAAGGAGGCTCGCTTAAGCAATAGCGATTAATAACTCTTCATCTTCATGGCCCTCCAAGTATGGCATTCTCAATATCTTCTCTGCTCAGTGCATAACTAAATCTCCTTTCAACTTCTTTCTCAAGCTCTCCTGGTCCACTCTTTAGATACCTGCATTCAATTCCAAAGAGCTGTTAGGAACTTGAATTACTAAAATTTGAAAGAGAAACAAGAGAAGCTTGTTAGATTGAAGAGTAACGAACATAATGAAGAAAGCATAGATAATTAGCCAGTCGAAAGATGAATATAAAGCAGGAAACTAATAAAGTAATTTCTTGAAGGTAGACATTCTGAAGCTGACTCGGACGATTCTGGTTTGCTTAAGGGAGTTCCGATATATCGGCTTACTAAAAAGCAGCAAAAACTAGTCTATAAAAAGAGAAAACGCATTGCATCTTCTACCATTTTAGATGTTCTTTTAAAGAAGCATCCTTAACTTCATCTACTAGTCTTTCTAAGACAGACTGAAACCTAGATCAGAGCAGAGAGTTGTCTAGACTTTATATTACAAATGACCGTCTTCGTGCTGCTCTTCCCATAATTACTCATCGAGTTGAGCCCTTCAACATCAAAACAGTATTATACCACTTTGGGCTTTGTTGATTTACTGCAGGATCTTGTCATTAATCTAAATTCAGATCTTATTTCCGGTGAATACATGACCAACAACATAACTGATAAATAAGATGGGGACTCGAAAAAGAAAAAAGACTTCCGCGGACAGGCAAGTTGAAAAATAAATGAATTACTTCTGATATAATTGTTAAGCATCCTTTCAATTTTAATTAAACCGAAATTTTAGTTCTATTAATAACTTACTTTCACAAGTATGTCTATGATCTACATCTGTTGGATTTGCATTGTGATGTGTTATAGTCAATAGCTAACCTCAGGCCAATAATTCAGCTCAAGAAATCATCCACAACTCTACTGCTCCAACACATAATTTTAATCCTAAACTTGATTCCAGAATCCAAATACTAACAATAAGAGCAAGAGGAAAATAATTAACCAGTCAAACAGAGATCTATCACTTCAGTCCAAACAAGAATATATGAACACTAGAGCTCCGATAACTACGAACAGATTCTTCTACAAGCTCTTAAGGTATGCCATAGTATAAATGAGAAATATTACACTCAAAAATTTCCCAGTTTCGACTATATTTAGAATCATATGGTCAACTACTGACTTAGGCAATACAACATTCCATTTGTTAAAAAAAAAAAAAAAAACAAAGGTTGAACCCCAACCACAAGGATCCCCCACCGCCCCTGCCCTGGAGCATCGTGAGGGAGGTAAATCACAGGTTATGCCTCCAAGGGTACAGGGTGAAAGGCTGCTTATACACTTGCACTTACCCAAGAGCCAAATCCATATTTCAGGATTCGAACCCTTGACGCGACAGGCTCAAGCAAAGCTGGATTTCTCCACCCTCCCCTTTTACCACTTGGAGATGTGCCCTGACGAGAAAGGAGGATAAACAAGGAAGCCAAATTTGACTGCAACAAGAGTAGTAGTGTAGTACACACTAAACAAACCAAATAATAGATGATCTCAAACAAAAAACAAAACTTACCAAAAAATCCATAAGAATGATATGAAAAATGCTAATTTTAATGATAAAAACGCTAAAACTCCAATCTTTAGTCATCAAATGAAATACAACAAAACCTTATGTAAAGATCACTAGATCAGTGATATCAAGCTAGAGTTGGCCATGCCAATCAGATTTCTCTACAACCCAAGCAGCTCTATCTTCTCTACTCTGGTAAAACCCAAGACTTCTCAGCCAGGCTTCTATGCATGGCAACCTGTGAGAGTGCAATGGCTTCTTTTTCTCCAGCGAGTTTTGAAGCCACTCATCCTCCGCTTCCAGTATCTCTGCTTCTTCTGACGATTTCGAGTGGTTATGGGTCTTTCTTGATATGGAAATGGAAGATGAAAATTGGGCACCTGATGAGAATTTCTTGAAAACTAAAGGGCATGTGATGGAAATTCTTGGAATGGAGTATAATGGTGTTGGAGAAACTGTGATGATTTTGAAGGTAGAAATGGCTTGCATCATTATTTTCTACTTTAAATTCTAATTTTATTTATTTTTCACCTGTTATGTAGCAAGGAATTTGAAGGTGGAAGAACTTAGAAGACGAATTTACAGGGAGATTTCATAGAAAATTGGAGAAGATGAAGAAAAGGTTTAAACGTCGTCGTTAGTGTCGCTTGCATTGTCGTTATCACGTGATTTTCCCGTGATTATAGTAAGAACTCAAAAGCGTGTCGCACTTAAGTTTAACTGTGTTAAAAAGAAAACCATGCATTGAAGAGTGTCTACAGTTGTCCAATTTTCTTTAATCTTCGTTGAAAAT